GTTGTTCCATATGATAGTGTTTCCTTCTCTTTGAAAGCAGAATAGTAGGGACAGCACTTCGTTCTCGTACCCATCCATTAATGGTTGATAGCTAGGTTGTCTCTTCTGTGAATAATTGTGAATGATGAGTGTAGATAATGCTGCGGTGATTATGAGTTTGTAAGTATTTTCTTAAAGCCCTCGTTTCAGTTGTTATAGGCAAATGCTGAGAAGTGAGTTTACTAGATCATACATTAGTTTTATTTGTTATTTTCACTATTTACTCTGTGGATTTAAAAAAATCTAATTTTTGTTGTTGCTTGATGGGTTTGGTTATTCCAACTATTTCTTGATTACCACTTGAGTAGAGCATCTCTTTGCTTTTGGCCCTATGGATTTAGCTCTCAAATAAGTGTTCTGCAGCATCTACACAGCTGGACCTAGGTGTCCCTATCCATTCAGCTGCTTTGTCTTTGTCTTGGGTAGAGCTGAATCCCTTAACCTTAAGTGAAATTAGTATGTGACAGAATTTGCAGCTGTTAACTGCTTCCTGTCTGTCTGGTAATCTTTTGCTCCATTTCTTTTCCTACTGTTTGTTTGTTTGTGTTTATTCTTTGTTGTTTTCTTTGTGCATTTTTATGCTTATTTCCTTTACAGTTACTATGGGCATCATATAAAACATCAATTAGGTGCAACACTCTTTTTCAGCTGATAGCTTGTGTACATAAATACCAATCAATATATAGACCCTGCCCTTTATTTATTTTCTTTTTATGTTATCTTTACTGTGTCCATTTATATATTTCTTGGCTACAGTATTTGTGGTTGTGCCTTTTAACTCATTTAATGAAATTAAAAGATATATATGGGGGAGCAAGATGGCCCAGCAGCTAAAGGTGTGTGCCACCAAAACCTGATGGTCTAAGTGTGAGCCTCAGAACCCACATAGTAGAATTAGAGCACTGACTCCTTCAGTTTAAGCTCTGACCTTCACTCATGCATGGTGTCATCCTTTCCTCCACCCCTAACTAGATAAATGCAAAAGAGTGTTTGTGTTTTATATGATAAATGTCTCATTACCATATTATAGGATTTTGACTGTCTATGTATTTACTTTTCCTGAAAACTTTATAGTTTTCTATGCTTCTGTGTTGCTGTCTAGTGTACTTGCTTTTCATTTACAACAGTTTTTTTTTTTACATTTCCTTTCAGACAGGTTCAGTGGGGATCTCATTTGAGTGTATATCTGAGAACTCCTTTCTTTCTCCTGATTTCTGAAGTGTTTTGGTAGTTTTGCTAGTTACAGTATCCTTAGTTTGCATTCCCCCTTTTAATATTGCATTTGATTGCAAAATTTCATAAAATTTATAATGCATTTTGAATATGCATTTACTCCCTTCTGGCTTATGACATTTCTGCAGAGGAATCTGCTGATCTGCTGATAGTCATAGGATTTTTTTGTAAGAATACCATATTTTAAATCAGTTTGTTCATCAAAGATTTGAACTCTGAATCTGAAAAGAGAAAGCATTGTGCTTTATGAAGCCATATAGCAAGATAGTAGACAGAACATTGACCAGCAGACTCTAATTCAGAAGTAAAATCCAAGTGTTGTGCTGTTTCTGTCTGTGAAGAGCAGAAGCTCGAAGAGCAGGGGCTGTGGAAGCTGAGACCAATCTTCAATAGAGAAATAGCATATCCATGTGTCAGAAGGAAACCAGCAATCCATACTTCCAGGATTAAATATTTTTCATAGATGTGCTTAGTTTGGGTTTTTCTAGTGCAGCATCTTTGCTTTATTCTTTCTATCTACATGGCTACTTAATTTGGCCTATTATGTCTGGTTTACCCCATATATATATATAATCTACATGGCTACCTAATTTTTGGATATTATGTCTTTTCCCCCAATTATATATTTTTATTACTTAATCATTGTTTTTCACATCCTAAATGTTGCCCCCCTCCCAATACCTCCTCCCAGAGTTCCTACGCTTATCCCCCCTTCCCTTTGCCTCTGAAAGGATGCCCTGGCAGGGTATCCCCCCTCCCTGGAACATCAAGTCTCTATGGGATTAGGCATCTCCTCTCCCACTGGGGCCAGACAAGGCAGCCCTCTGCTACATATGTACGGAGGTGGGGGCGGGGGTAGACTAACAGTGTCAACTATTATGTTTTAAGAATGATATAGATGATGCAGAATCAAAGATTATTTATTGTAAACATTTCTGACATTTTTTCCTTTGCATCAGACAGAGAAAATACTGATGTTTCTTGAGGTTCCCGGTTCTTAAAGCAACTCTACTTTTAGGACATAAATACAGTATTTTATTTCTCTACTGACAATATAATTAAAACATTAGTTTAAAAGCCACATGATTAAATGCGCTGTTTTATAAAATGCCACTAAACGCACTGCTTGCCATTCCCAGAACTAAGGATCTGTCAGAGTGTCCTGGTAGGAACTGTTACACAGGAGATAATTGATTGAGACCCATGGAAGGCAATCTAAGATAACCTTTTGTTTTTAATTAAAATGGGAAATAAGAAGCCAGTTCAAAAAATTGTCTTCTTTCATTTGTCCAAGCTGAGAGCAATGGAGTTTCTGTTCCAGCGAAGCCCTATTACCTGCAAAAATCCTTAAGAATTCTGGTTGTGTACTGTGAGGTTATAGCCAGCAAAGCCCATGTGCTGCCATGATATACTATGGCAAGAATCATTAGCAAATTAATTTTTTAGCTGTCACGCGTTTTGGTAGTAGGGTTAAGAGGACATTTTTCCTTCCTTGAATTAAAGTCAATGCCTTGAAATAAGCTTAGAAGAAATGGGTTTCTAAGATAGAACAAATGAGTAAATACTGGATACAAGCCTTTGAAATGTGGAACGTGGAAGATTAGTTTTTGGATTACTTTTGGTCTATCAAGCTAAAGCTTGGATTATATGAAGAATCATACACTATTTTAAATAGAGTTTATTCATGTTCTTTGGAAAAAGCATGTTTTAGTTTGGTTTGGTTTGTTTGTTTGTTTTTTCCAGGCAGGCTTTAAGTCACTCCATAACTCTGGTTGGCCCCCAAACCTATAGTCCTCCTTAGCACCCAAACGTTTAGTCCTTCTTAGCATTCTAACCTGTAGTCCTTCTCAGCATCCTTAGTGCTGGGATTGTGGTATGGCCCTGCACCCAGCTCTTTTGTTTGTTTTGTGTTTTTCCTTTTGTGAAGTTAAAAAGATTTTTTAAAATTTTACAACCTTCAATTTTCTCATGTCCCCTGCTCTCAAACTTGTGGCTTATTTTCTTTCTTATTATTACATATATATGTTATATGTGTATAAATATATGGACACAGCCTGCTAAGTCTGTTTGTTAGTGTGTGTGTGTGTGTTTCTGTACATGATTTCAGGACTCATTATTGGATAAACAGTTAAGGAGCTCATCCCCAGGAAAGATGAATTTTCTCGCTCACTAGCCAGTAGTTGCTTAGAGTTGCTTCTCTCAGGATAGACCCTTGTGAGAGTCCTCCTTTCCACATTAACATGTATAATGACATTGTGTTTAGGCAGCCTTGCTGTGGAGGGATCCTAGGTGAACCTTCTCTGTCATTTCTAGAAGACAGTCTCACAGCAGATTTCCCTGTTCTCTGGCTCTTAGAATCATTCTGCCCACCCCACCCTCCATGTTCCTCAGATATAGGTACAAGAGGTAGATGTATCCAGTGGGGGTAGGCACACTGCACTCACCTGTTCTCAGAATTTCACCAGTTGTGTCTTTTTGTCATGGTCTCTTGTCTACTCCAAGTAGAAACTTGTTCGATAAGGGATGCGGGCTCCATTTTCCTTTAGGTATAAGTATTTAGAATATAGTTAGTAACTTTGTTAGTCTAGAAAAGGTGATAGTAGATTGTCCTCTAAGATCCATTATCTTACTAGCTTTTGGTAGTTGGGTCAGGTTTTAGTATCTGGCATGATTTCACTCCTGGTAAGCAGGCCTTAAGACCAATTAGGTAGCTTTTGGTTACCACTAAGATATGAGTGCTGCTATCACACCTTTAGAGATATCTTGCCATGCTGGTTATTGTTGTGATTTGTAGACCTCACAGTTAGATAGGGGTATTGATGGATTCCTGCTTTTGGCAGCTTGCATAGCTCCTTTTGGTACTATGAAAGCTAGTTCATAGGGAAGAGACTTTTAGGTCAGTTACAACTCAGATCCTTTGAGTCCTGTGTCTGAAGCGTGTAGTGTCTTCAGCAATAGGGATTTAACTTTAATCTCTAGGAGGCAACCAAGTGTGCCCAGTTCTTGAATTGAATTTTAAAGTATCTTATTAAGCTGTAGCATGCGTAAAATTCAGTTCATTCATTGAAAGTGTATAGTTCAATGTCTTTCAGAGTATTTATAGAGTTGTACAGATATTTGAGATTGTTTCAGCTTTTCAGCATGCTTTGCTTTTAGGACTAGTATCCCAACCAAGTAATTTTGCTGGGATTTCAATAGGGATTTCACTGAATGGAATCAGTGTGGGAAATATTGCCTTAACATTTATTCTCGTGACCAATGAATAAATTGATTTTCTTCATTTTATTGTGTAATGCATAGAGATAAAAACAAGGGCTTATAGAGACATTTTAAACTACTCACCTCCTTTGTAGGATCCTGGTTTTAATTATTTCATGTGAGAATAACCTAGCTGAATATATCTCTATGTGGAGTTGTTTACTGTTTGTGTAGCTAACTGTCTGTTTGAACTATAATTTTCTTATGGGTAGCCTAAATATTAACTTTCTTATTAATTGATATCTTACTTGTTTAAGAAATAGATGTTTTAACTCGCATTTGAAGTTCATTATAATAGAATTGGAATATTAGTGTTAGTATGAAATTGCCATTAATAACAAATAGCTGACATTTCTAAACCTAACTCATCCACAGTCATACTTTTACTTTGAAGAAGTAAGAGGTGGGCAGTGGTTCATAATAAAGCTCAGACGATGGCCTAATTTACATGCCCTTTAAATTTGTCTTAGGTACCAAATCTGATTCCAGTTTTGATGTTCAAATTGGGAAGACCCTTAGACCCTGTGTCATACAATCATATATTGTATACTTTGCCTACACTTGGTGTTCACAAGGTTAGTATATCACTTGACTAATTTTTGGGGGGAGGGGGTGGGGGAGAAACCTAAATAGTTGGTGCTTATATCTATTTCATATATCAATCGATTAATTTTTTTTTTTTTTTGGCAGTGGAGGGAAGCAACCCAAATGGTTAATATTGATTTCTATTTCATATTATGAAATTTTAGGACCTAATTTTACCAAGATTATTTCTTCCTCCTTTATTTTTGTTTTATAGTAGCTAATGTCTACAGATAAATTTAGGGCTTTATTTAAATCTCTAAATATCTGTTTTCACATTTGCTGTTCTCTGAGGTTAGACCCTTTGCTCCCCAAATTGCTGATTGGTTCCTCCCCAATCTATCTCCCTTGTTCTCAGAAGATGGGTACAAGCTAAGTAAGCTTGCATTCCAGTCTTTACTTATAACAAAGACCTTAAAAATGCCTTTGCAGCCTTGAAGTTGTCTTCCTTCATGAAAACAGTTTAATACTTTTCCAGGTATGCATAGGGCAGATCCTGCGGGTAATTCAACTACTGGGAACCACACCACGACTAAGAGCTGTCACATTGCGCCTATTGACATCTCTGTGGGAAAAGCAGGTACGCTTAGCTATACACTTGTCGCATATTAAACGTTTTCCTTTCTCTAAAGAAAAATTATTACGTGACAGTGCTCCTCAGATTTAGTAATAGTAGTGGGTATCATCAATGACTACCTTGACAAATTTTGATTTATTGTGGTGTATTTGATTCATAAAAGAGTCACTTGTGTTTGACTTAGAAATTGAGAACATAAAATAATCTTATTGCACTACTTCTGACATTTATCTCTCCATCTGTATGATAAAGTAATAGAAATATAGTTGTGATTAGAGGCTTTGTAGAAAGGGTGTGATCTGGCCACTTGTTTTCTGGGATGAACTGTGCACGGGTCTGTAAGGAAAGCCTCTGTAATCACAACAGCATTATTCTCTGCTGATTAGCAGAGATACATTATAATTTCCAAATGCAAATGCAAGATTTGGAGGTGAAAATGCTGCATAAAAGATAATGATTATTCAGTTTGAGTTAGCAAATTACCTTTTTTTTTTGTAAAATGATTTTATTAGGATCGTGTGTACCCTGAACTGCAGCGTTTCATGGCCATGTCTGATGCGCCCTCTCTCTCTGTGGGCAAGGAGCTGCAGTGGGAGAAACTGATTGCAAAAGCTGCGTCCATCAGGGATATATGTAAACAGAGGTAAGACTGCTTCTTTAGGATGCATGCCGTGAGAGAGTACTCTTCACTCAAGTTTTCTTTTTTCTTTTTGTAATACAGAAGAATGCATTATTTTCAAAAGCAAGCATGTTTTTCCCTTTTATTTTCTTTCATTTTAATGTGTAGGGTATTTATATCCCCTTCTGGGTAATAATTTAATATTATAGTAACATGATATATGTTACTATAATGTCACGAGGTAACATGACATGTTTTCTCTTCTTTTATGTATAAATGCCTGACAACTAAGCAGTAGACTGTAGTCATAAACAATTCTTTGTTTTGCTTTAGATTTGTGGTCTCACTGGGTAGCTCAGACTGTCCTTGAACTCGTGATCTTCCTGTTTCAGCCTCTTGACTGCTGAGATTACAAATGTGTGCCACAGTACACCACTTTGGCCAGATTCTTGTAAGCACTTAAAGTAGGAAAGGCCTAATTGTGACTTGTATGGTGTTGCATACAGCATGGTATAACAGGGGAGAAAATGATGTTGCATTTACTTTTATCCTCTACTCTTTCATGAGAACATGAAGGCGGAGAACTGACTGCCAGTCTAGATTAGGGATCAATTGAAGAGCTAAGGCTGAAACAATATAAGCAAAGCTACCTTTGTTTAAGTTTCTTCTTCCCTCCTCCCCTCAAATGGAGTGAAGTAAAGCTGAGAAGAGGAACTAGATTGGGTGCATTTGATAAAATTTCTAGTTCAGTACCTTGCCATGCATGATAGACTGTGGCATTGTAGGATTCCTGTGAACATCCTGTACCTCTGTCCAGGACGACAGAGTAAACGATGTGTCCTGAGACTGTGCAGGAGGTAGACAGCAGTGCTGATTACATGAGTCACTTCTGTCTCCAGTAAGATTTTGAATCAAAATGTGTAAGAATATAAACCTTAGCATTTCTGTCTCTTTTCTGAGCCTGTGTACAGAAAAGTAAGAGCAGACTATGGTATAAAAAAGCCACACTTATGTAACTCAAGACCTGTGTGTCTGGATGTTATTAAAATCTTGGCATGGAACAAATTATAGAGACAAGTTCTTAGCCAACATTCTAATTTTCCAGGGAAGGTTGAGGTGCAGGAAAGATTAGATATCAGACTACATCAGTCTTGAGAACTTATTCATGTTCTTTTCTTTCCTATTCTCAAATATATCAGTTTTCCCCCAAGCTTTGGAAAATCATTTTCTTTTTGTGGGACAATGAGACAGAAGAATCTTGTCAGGCGGTTTCATTTATTAATAGTTTGTTAATTAGAGGAAGGACTTTATGTCCCTGAGGCTTTCAAAGAGTAGATGTGAGCAATTGTTAGGTTTAAAGACAGTCTGGGGGCAGTGCAATGTGTGTGGAAGGGGTAGGAAAGGAAGGGCACAGGCCATGCCCGGATGCAGCCTGGGGTGGGATAGGCATACACTCGGTTACCCCTTCTATTAGTATAGTCATCATCATGGCGATGATAAATGTAGTCACCATTTTTAGTGTCATGACATGAGTCGTCTGATCTCCAGTGTCTGCTTTCATGCTCACTATCTGATGCAGAACAGCCACTAGACAGGAGTAGCTTTGCCTTTTCCTATAATCTCTATAAAGATTGCCCATTAATTTACCATTGTTAAAATCTGGGATTTTAATGATTGAGGGAGCTGGAGGGGTCAGGGACTCCACAGGAGACCCACAATGTCAACTTACCTAGGCCCATTGGGGTTCACAGAGACTGAACTGCCAACCAGAGAGCATGCAGGATCTAGACCTAGGCTTCTCTACACATGTATTAGATGTACAGTTTGGTCTTCATGTGGGTCCCCTAACCACTGGAGCAGGGGCTGTCTCAGAGTTTGTTGCCTGCCTTGGGGTCTCTTTGCTCTAGCTGGGTTGCCTTGTCTGGCTTTAGTGGGAGAGGATCTGCCTAGTCCTGATTTAACTTGATATTCCTGGGTGGGTTGGTATGGGGGTTGGGGGGGGAAGTGTTCTCTTCTTCTAAGAGAAAGAGAGGGTAAAATGGGGGGAGGGAATGTGAGCGTAAGACTGGGAAGAGAGGAGGGAGTAGGGCTGCAATCCAGATGTAAAGTGAATAAATAAATACATTAGTGAAAAAATTGCCAATTCTGACAACAGGATTATGACTTAGAGATTAAAACTCTAAAGTACCTTGAAAAGTACCTTCTTCAGGGCTGCATAGATAATAGGTCAGTGGGTAAAGTGTTGCTATGCAAGTGTCAGAACCTAAGTTCGAATCCCCAGTGCTCACACAAAAGCTGAGCATATTGGTTCAAGTCTTTAATGCAGCAGTAGAGTGGAGAGGGTTGAATCTCTGGAATATTCTGGCTACCCAGTCTAGCTGAAAACATAAACCTCATGTCCAGTGACAGACCTTGTTTGAAAAAAATAAGTCAGATGGTGATTGAAGAAAGACATCAGATATTTGACCTCCAGGTGTTGTCACAGGCAAGTAAACCTGCAGAAGAAATGGTACCCATATACATGTGTGTCCCTGTGCATACATGTGTGCATGTGCACATGGACATGCGTATGTGCATGAATTTGCAAAAGTGTCTTCTCTTTTTAACTGCTGCATAAAAATAAGCATTAAATTATTAAATTGCAACAGATCATAATCATAGTGTAAAGATCTTGAAGAACATGTGGTTTTTAGTATTTATGGGTGAATCTTTAGTATGTACATGGGGTTGAGAAAAGAATGCCTTTATTTTAGTCAAAAATCTGGGAGTAATAATGACTCTTTGGTTCTAATTTTGATTTGAAACTGTCATTTGTCGTAGGCCCTATCAACATGGTGCAGACATGCTGGCAGCCATTTCTCAGGTGTTGAATGAATGCACCAAGCCTGATCAAGCTACTCCAGCCGCCTTGGTGTTACAAGGTCTTCATGCACTCTGCCAGGCTGAGGTAGGCATTTCTGAGTTGTTCAGTATAACTCTTCAGCTATCTTACCAGGATGTGAGATCAAATTTGAGTAAGTGAATGTTTCAGTATTAATTCTAAGATTTGTTTTTGTTGGAGGCGAGGGGAGAGTAGAACAGGATTGCTTTGCACACATTTTTTTTTTTTTTTCTTTTCTGAGGAGATTTTGGTTGATCAGCTTGACACTCTACAGAGACCATATTTTTGGCCTTATTTGTTTTTGTTATGTTGAGAGGGTATTTATGGAGCTGTTGAATGTGTTTATTTCTTAGTTTTTTGACTGAAGAATCTTAGAATCTGTTAAGGTAAAGGAATAGCCATAGGTCAGTGGTCCTTGTGTACTCCGAATAAATCATGAGTGACCCGAAGACTGGCAAAGGAGGCATCCCTTCCTGGTGGTTAGATCTGCCAGATGGTTGAAGAGCAGAACAGACTTGCAAATCATTGACTGAAATCTAGAGTGTTCCCAGAGTGATCGTATATCAAAGAGAATCTTTACTGTTTTGAATAAATAGGATAATCACATTGAAGTTCATCCATTTGTCTAACCAGTGTTTTTGACAAAGTGAGTGTGCGCACTGCAGGTTCTAAGGGAATGAGAACTCTCCTAGGGTTGTAACCAATCATGAATGATGATGATGTTGAAAATTGCTATAAGATAAACAATTACAAAACCCAGTGTTTGTATGTTATTGTCCTTATGTTAAACGCTTTCTATGCCCGTTTTCAAGAGTTGCAGTATAGGAATTAGAGGAAAATAGACCTTAGGAGACATTTTCTCAGAATCTTGGTTTGAGTGTAGTTTGTGCTGTGTGAACACTCCTTTCTCCAGACAGTGAGTAGAGTCTCTGTTCAGTAAGGATGTGTCCTTAGGATGATTGTTTCAGATCTGCTGGCCTGGACTTGGAAAGGTATTAGACCTTTACAAGACTTCACAGCATTGACGGCTCTGAGCTTACGGACTTCTATTTTCTGTTGCTTCAATTAGTCGTCTGGTACTGGAGCCCACTTCCTTACCAATTATATCATTTTCTCAATAAATATCTAGATCTTATCATTAAGCATCTTTTTAACAACAACTGAGAAATGTGTCATATACATCCACCTCCCAAGTGGACTACTTTTTGCCCCTTTGAAGTACTTTAATTTTTTTATACCAATTACGTTTTTTCTAAGAAAATAGTAATCTAGTCTTTTTGTTCCTATAATTTCATTGTTTCCCACCCTGACCCTCCCTCTGCTGGTAGCGTAAGGCTCAGGTATATTAATGTTTACCTTTTAGGACATTCATTGAATTCATCAAGGAGTTTTCTTAACCCATTTATCTAAGACATCATTACTAGCTATAGTTTGTACTGAAGGTAGAAAAAGCATTGTCCGTAATAGAGAACATCTTTGTTTTTAGGCAGTGGTGAAAGCGTGCTTCATAAGTACTAAGAGCTACTGGAGTATGTTCTCTGGTTAATTCACTTAGTGATAATTATGCTTCAGGTGGAGATAAATGGAGAGTGCATTCAGAAAGACCCTAGCATGATCTTGCCCGTATTGGTGCTGTCTGGATGTTGGGCCTGCCCCTGGTTAGTTGGTACCTAGTTAGGTAGACTCTCTCAAGGAGGTTCTGAATAGTTCTTCACCCTTTTCTCTGACACCCACATAATGTATGGTGATTTCTTCCTCCAGTGGTATCTTCTCCCTCATCACTACAGCTCCATTTTCTTCACTGCATATTTAATGGCACCATTAAGATTGCTGAACACTTAGCCCTAATTCCATTCTCTGACCCAAACAGTTCCTTACAAATACAATCGTGAGCCCACTAGAATACTCTTTCCTTGCTTCTCAGTGTTCTTCCCAGAGCAGTGCTTGTCAACATTTCTAATGCTGTGACCCTTTAATACAGTTCCTCATAGTGTGGTGAGTCCCAACTATAAAATTATTTCATTGCTGTTTCATAACTGTATTGCTGCTGTTATGTATCATGATGTAAAAATGTGATATGCAGGATACCTGATGTTTATTCAACCCTGAAAGTGGTGGAGACTCATAGGCTGAGAATCACAGTCCTAACAGCACTGGGGTATCTTGTTTCATTAAATGAAGCTCATCTCTTACTTCTTTGCTAGGATAAAGGAGTTATTCTTTCTCATCTGGTCTCCTCTCTCTTATTATTATGTAGTCTAAATATCACATCTATTTTTAAATTAAAAATTTTCTTTGAAAAACTCTCTTTTGACTGAAACTGGCTTTGATGCTACATACTTTTAGTCCCAGCGCAAGAGGCAGAGATTGTGCTTGAGTTTGTGCTGCTTGGTCTCTAGAGCAAGTTCCAAGACAGCCAGGGTTACTCAGAGAAACCCGGTCTTCAAAAACAAACACAAGCACAAACAAACAAACAAACAAAAATTAAGAAAGAAACAAAATCTGATACGTTACAAATCCAGTATGCGGTAGTCTAACTCTAGCTGTTAGTGTCCTTAAGTCATGTTTGACAGCAAGATGAGAATTAATAAATCATAGAACAATGCCATCAATCAGGTAACCTGATTTCTTATTTTTTGTGTGTATGGCAAAATGTTTTATTTTGTTATCCTTTTTGTTCTATGTATTTCTTGTCTAGAGTATAAACTTTTATTGGTGAATATACTACATGCCATGTCTTCTTCATAAATATTGCATATGTCCTGAGGTGTATTGTTTGTTGAAACTCTATTATTGTTAGTTTTGGTAATAAACATGGGCTTCATTGACATTTAGAGCTGGATAGCTTCTTCTATGTAAGTAGGAATAACCGTCACTTTGATGGTAGTTTTCTCTCTCTTTGCCCTGTGTAAGGCTTTTCATATTTTGTGTTTTATTTGCTGCAGTTCTGTCCTGTGGTGTATGCTAAAGTCATGAGATTTATTCAGTTCAGCATCTCTTCTGAGGCAATGTTTAATATTTACTATCTTGGGACTAGTTTTTTCTTTTGGGTTGGTGTGCTACCCTCAGAAGTCAACATTCATTCCCCGAGACCATTTATTCTGTTTTCTAATTTGCAACATGTGTGAAACACTGGTGTCATCACCAGGTTCAAGAATGGAGATATTCAGCATAGTTATGAATCTGTTTCTCAGAAGCAGTTGGTCATGATTTATCTGTCTATTACTCTTTAAGTCTTTGACTATCAAATATCATTAGGGGTGTAGAAAGATAGCCTGAAACAGTAGAATAAATCAGTAAAGCTAAGAGCACAAACTGAATAACCCTGGCTTTGAGAAAATACATCAGCTAAAAAAACATTTATAATTGATTCCTAGAGCTTTCTCAAACATTGCATCTCTGCAAGAAGTAGAGTAGTACAGTGTTGAACCCTCTCCCCCAATAAGTTTGGTAGGTAATGAAGTCTTTGGTTTTGAAAGTCAAAATATTGAACTTCGTTTGTCCTCAGTGGAGTTAGATTCATCTTAAAAACCACTGCTACTTACTCATTTACATATCTCCCTAGGACAGGTTTCTAAAAGGATAGAGTCTGCTTAAATGCCAAGTGTGTCAGAACAGTGACTCTGTTTACATTATGCATTTTTGTGGTTCTACTTGGCTAAATAAACAAATAAACAAAAAAACCTACAGCAAAGCTCCTTAGAAATCTCAACTGACCAGAAAGATGCTAATGTCTCTTTGATAAGCAGATAATTCATTCCTTCTTTAAGGCTGTTAATATATTGATTTTTGACTTCACATATTTCTTTTAGGATATTTTTCTTTGCTAATATTTCTTTGATGACTAGAACAAAAATTTCCCTTTTGTGATATATGGATTATAATATTTCATTTTGTGGTGAAAGAACAATCTTGTAGCTGACATTTATTGAACACCTTAGAAATTCTAACTTGCCAGATTTCTATGAAGTACTTGACCATGTGGATGTCTGATTGTTGTTTAGTTTGCTTGGATTAATTCTCTTTCTTTTGTATTGTTTTACCAAATGTGATAAAGTTGAGGGAACAGTTTGAAGTCTTCTCTTTCAGTCACAGAATGCACAGAAGTGGAAATGAGTGAATCCCAAGATGCCTGGAATGTTACCCAGTCAACTTAAAGTTTTAAGGGTGAACATAACTTCCAGTGTGAACAAGCTGCCCAGGGTTTGATGAAAAACAGTGTGTGCAGAAATAAAGTCAGTGCATTGGCCTCTGAAAGAGGTCTCATTCTCTTTGAACACTTTCTCTCTTAAGGTCTTAAGATGGGCATAGGAGGCACGCTAGGGCAGTGATTTCTTAGTCAGCTGTGAATCTGTTGTGGCAAAAATTAATAGGCGTTTCAGAATCACTGAGAAAAGCTCTTTCATCTTGCCCAGCACCATCAGGGTGTTACATTTTCAAAGCAGAGCATTGTACAACTGAGCGGCAGATAAGGACGGGAGGGGCCTTTCCTGGGGATTCTTGACCGCTGGCAGAGTTCATTTCAGGCCATTTGTCACAGGGGTGATTTCCCCTGAGATACCCTCCGCCAGCGGTATGTTTTGGCTATTCTGTCCTCTTTTATTTATTTATTTCTGAAATCATGGTGGAGGGTAGTTGTCCTTGCCCTCTCCCATCATCCTAACCCTTTGTCTAAGGTCTCCTTTACAACTCCATGGGGTAGGAACAATTCTCAATGGGACCCAGCAGGTCTGGAACGTTTTAGAGAGTTAGTGTGATATAAAAATGCCCAATAGAAATCCTGCATTTTGTCTAAGCATTTTTAGCGTGATAAATATAATTTAGTATGGAAACGTGATCCATTGTTCCATGGCAGGTTTCCTCAGCTGTGTACAGTAAGGCTTCTGTTGCCTACTGTGTATTTGGTATTTACTGCACTCCGAATCCCTTTGTTGTTTCTCAGTTTTGTTTGTGGAGACTGTTAAAGGTGGATTGGCTGCATAACCTTGCAGAGGAGTTGATTAAGTTTAATTTGCTATGCATTAGAGAGTGGATTTGCTGGTCTTTTTGAACTGCCCTCTGTTATT